GGCTCCATTTGTAAGAATGAGCAAAATAAAGCTGTGGGGTAGAAACCACAGCAGTACCTGTGAGGCATGGGGCCCAAGGGCACTTGCTGGGGAGTGGAATGTTCTGCACTTACATGTATGTGGCAGTGATCCATGTGTCCAAAGCTTACGAAACTTTGTTACTAAGATCTGTGCCTCCGGGCTCGGTGGCTCAGCCTGTAATGTAATCCCAGTACTTTGGGAGGCTGAAGCAAGTGGATTGCCTGAGTTTGAGGGTTCGAGACCCACCCTGGCTGCAGTTCTGGCTATTTGGAAGGCTGAGATGGAAGGATCGCCAGAGCCCAGCAGGTCGAAGCTGTGGTGGCCAGAAGTGTGCCACGGCACTCCAGTCTGGGCGACAGTGTGAGACTCCAACTAAAAAAAAAAGATCTGTGCCATCCACTATAGTAAATCTTACCTAGATTTTAAAAAAAGAATGGAAGGAAACCCATAAAGACAACACTAGTGCTACTGGGCTTGGGTGCCCAGCTGCTCACTAAGATGGGAAGTCTCTGAAATATCCATACTCAACATGTAGGCTGTAGCCCCACCAGCAGGACAGGAAGATGACATTGGGACCTCTGAGAAGGATTCAGTTCCCATTTTCTGGAACGTTTCTGGTGGGACAACAAGGTGTCTGGGTGAACAGAGAGACCCTGCCACTGCTGGTTCTGGGCACAGACATCCACTGGCTGGCTCTGGGAAAGGCTCCTCATGCAGATCCAAGCACAAGGAGCACAGACAAGGGCTCAAGAGGCTGATAGTCCTTGGGCAGCTGGCATTATCCTCCTGTGCTGTGTGTCCCTGCTTATTCCTGGCCCCTAGTACTTCAACCCTAAATATCTCAGAAACAAAGTCCTCATTTGAATGCCTTCCCCGTGACTACCGCCTCTGGGTTTTCAAGTTCAAACAGTTACATCCAGTACTTTACACAAGTTTACCATTCCTTGGGCAAGGCATGCCGTACCCAGCTTCTCCATCTGTGAAATGGGCTGATACTTTTCATCATCCAATGAGAACCTGTCATCATGTGCTAGGCACTGGGTGAGCTCTCTACAAAGTTAGTTTACCCCGCTGTGTGGGTGAAAAGGCAGCACTGGGGTCTGTGAAAGAGCCAGCCCACATGGAAGTTAAAATCAGTTTAAAAAATATACATAGAAGCCGGGCTCGGTGGCTCAGCCTGTAATCCCACGCTTTGGGAGGTTGAGGTAAGTGGATTGCTTGAGCCCGTGGGTTCAAGACCCGCCTGGACAACTTGGCGAGACCTCATCTCTACAATAAATTTAAAAAATAGCTGGGCGTGATAGCACGTACCTGTAGTTCCAGCTACTTGGAAGGCTGAGGTGGAAGGACCACCGGAGCCCAGCAGGTTGAGGCTGCGGTGACTGGGAGCATGCCACTGCACTCCAGTCTGGGCGACAGTGAGACTCCAACTCAAAAAATATATATATACATAGAAATTAATGTAATACACTATGTTAATATAAAGAAGACAAAAAAAGCACTTGACAAAGTACAATACCTTTTCATAATAAAAATGCTCCATAAACTAGGAATAGAAGAATTCTGCCTCAATATGACCAAGCTCATATGTGAAAAGCCCTCAGCGAACCTCACATTCAGTGGTGAGACCCAAAAACCTTTCCTCTAAGATCAGGAACAAGACAAGGATGCCTGTGTTGGCCACTTCTATTCCATGTTGTACCGGAAGTCCTGGTCAGAGCAGTTAGGCGAGAAAAGGAAATAAAAGGCAAAGGAAGAAGTAAAATTATTTCTGTTCACAGGTGATATAATCTTATATGTAAAAAGTGCTCAAAATTCTACAAAAACACTTGTTAGAGCTAATAAAAAATTAAACAAAGTTGTAGAATACAAAACCAAAATACAGAAATCAGTTGTATTTTTACATATAGTACTAATAAACATTTTGGGAAGGAAATGAACAGTTTCATTTAAATAATATAAAAAAGAATAAAATATCAATCAACTTAACCAAGGAGGTGAAAAACGTGTATACTGAAAATTACAAAACATTGCAGAAAGAAATTAAAGAAGAAATAATTTCAGTGGAAAGACATCCCGTGTTTATGAATTGGAAGATTAATATTGTCTGCATGCCAACTACCCAAAGAAATTCCTATTAAAATTTAAGTGGTGTTTTTTTCAGAATTAGAAAAACTTATCCTAAAATTCATATGGAATCTCAAGGGACTCCTAATAGCCAAAACAACCTTGGAAAAGAATAAACTTAGAGGCCTTGCATTTCCTGATTTCAAAATGTACTACAAAGCTATAGTCATTAAGGCTCTGAGGTCCTGGCATAAAGACACACACACAGACCAATGGAACAGAATAGACAGCCCAGTAACAGACCTCACGTATATGGTCAAATGATCTTCCACAAGGGTGCCAGATAGAAAGGACAGTCTTTTCAACAAAGGTGCTAGGACAGCTGGATATCAACATGCAAAAGAATGAAGCTGAACTCTTACCTAAGGCTATATACAAAAATTAACTCAAAATGAATCAAATACTTAAATGACTGAAAGACCTTAAGACTGAAAGTTATACAACTCTTAGAAGAAAACACAGGGCCAAAGCTTCACAACACTGGATTTGGCAATAATTTTGATGTAACCCCCAAAGTACAGGGAACAACAACAAATAGACAAATTGGACTTAATGAAAATTAAAAATTTCTGCATATCAAAGGACGCTATCAAGAAATTGAAAAGGCAGTCTACAGAATGAGAGAAATACAATCATATACCTGATAAGGGATCAATATCCAGAATATATAGAAAATCCCAACAATTCAACAACAAAAACCCAATTAAAAAATGGGCACTGGAGTTGAATAGACATTTTTCCAGTGAAGATATACAAATGGCCAATAAACAGGAAAAGATGCTCGGCATCACTAGGCATCAGGGAAGCAAATACAAATCACAGTGAGATATCACTTCACACCCATTAGGATGGCTGCTACAAAAAAGAAAACAAAACAGAAAATAACTAACTTTTGGCAAGGATATGGAGAGACTGGAACCCAGTGTACTGTTGGTACGAATGTAAAATGGTGCAGCAGCTGTGGAAAACAGTTTGGTAATTTCTTCTTCTTCTTTTTTCAACTGATTTTCTGTATTTTGGGTTTTTTTTTAGAGTTGGGAGTCTCAGTCTATCACCCAGGCTGGAGTGCAGTTAGCACGCTTATGGCCACTGCAGTCTCGACCTGCTGGGCTCAGGCAATTCTTCCGCTTCAGCCTTCCAAGTAGCTGGAACCACAGGCGTAGGCTACTGTGGTTGGCTAGTTTTTTTTTTTTTTAATTGTAGAAACGAGGTCTCACCGCGTTTCCCAGGCTGGTCTCAAACCCCTGGGCTCAGCCAATCCTTTCCCCGTCGGCCTCCCAAAGAGCTGTGATTACAGGCTTGAACCACGCGTCCTTGGCCCGTTTGGTGATCTCTAAAGTTAAACAAAAGATTACCATATGATTTGGCAATTTTACTCTTTAAGTATATACCTAAGAGCACTGAAAGCAGGAACACATACACTTGTGACTACTGTTCATAGCAGCATACTCACAGTAGACAAAAGGTAGAAATAACCTGTGTCCACTGACAAACAGATACACACAATGGAATACTATTCAGCGTTAAAAAATAAGGAAATTCTGACACATGCTACAACATGGATGAACTTTGAGGACATTTTGCTGAGTGAAATAAGCCAGTCAGAAAAGGACAAATAATGTCCTTTATTTGTCATGTAACCTCTGTTTTGTTTGTTTGTTTGTTTTTTGAGTTGGAGTCTCACTCTGTCACCTAGACTGGAGTGCAGTGACCGCTCCCGGCCACTGCAGCCTTGACCTGCTGGGCTCCGGTGATCCTTCCGCCTCAGCCTGCCGAGTAGCTGGAACTACTGGCACGCGATACCACACCCGGCTCATTTTGATTTATTGTAGAGATGAGGTCTCGCTGCCCAGGCGGGTCTCAAACCCGCGGGCTCAGGCAATCCACTCACCTCAGCCTCCCAAAGCGTGGGATTACAGGCTGACCAACCGAGCCCGGCTATAACCTCTGCTTTAATGAGGTACTTGGGGTATTCAAATTCAGAGACAAGAAGTAGATGGCAGGTGCCAGGGGCTGGAGGCACAGAGGAGTTTGTGTTTAATGAGTAGAGTTTCTGGGGTGGTGAAATTCTCGAAATAGATAGTGGTAATGGTTACACAATACAAACGTACTTAAGGCCCCTGAATTGTACACCTAAAAATGGCTGAAATGGTAAATTCTGTTAAATATATTTTACTACAATAAAAAAAGATACGTTTATCAAGGACCAGGATATATTCTGAAATGTTTTCCACAGCTGCGGCACCATTTTATATTTGCACCAACAATACACTGGGGTTCCAGTCATATCCTTGCCGACAACTGGTTATTTTCTGTGCCGTTAGGTGATTTGGTTGTTGTGTGAACATCAGAGCGTGCACACTTAGATAGCACAGCCTACTGCACAGCTAGGCTGTATGGTCTAGCCTATGGCTCCTAGCCTACAAACCAGTATAGCATGTAACTGTATGGAATACTGTAGGCAACTGTAACACAATGGCAAGGATTTGTGGGTCCAAACATAAAAGAGACAGGAAAAATATGGTCTAAACGATAAAGAACAGTCCACTTGGATAGGAAACTTGACATGAATGGAGCCTGCACCACTGGAAGTTGCTCTGGGTAAGTCAGTATGAGTGGTGAGTGTGAAGGCCTAGGACATTACCATCCATACTGTATAGACATTGGACACTTAGGTCACACTAAGTTTCTAAAAAAACGTATTTTTTTCTTCGATGATGAATTAACCTTAGCTTACTGGATGTATATGTAGTCTGCCGCTGACCCGAACGTGACTAGCATACACACAATATGGCCCTGGGGGGCGGGGGCGGGGAGGCAATTTGGTCTGAAAAAGGTCTTTTCTGACCCAGCTGGATCGGTCTCTGCACAAGGCTCTGCCCATTCTCCGCCGGCGGTGGAGCGGAGCTGCCTGCAGCCTGAGGTAAGCCCAATCTGTGGAACTCCCCCTCTCCCTTGAGGGAGGAAGTTTAAATTATCAGGTCAATTAGGAAAGATACAACCGAAAAATCCAAGTCTCATTCCCACTTCAAGGAGGCGTTTACTGGCTGGGTGCCACTTTTATTATTTTTGGCCCAGGCGGCTGAAATCCCCGCAGACAGGGGAAGGTACAATATGATCTTTGATTCGCATTTCAAGGATCAAAGCGAGCAAGTTCGGGTGTAAATGCAGATAACGTTTCAGAGACTTCTCATGAAAGGAGTCACTGGGCCGGGGCAAGGGGAGCCGGCGTTACGTGGGCTCCCTCGTGCCCGGCCTCCCACGCCCCAGGGACTCTCGGCCGATCCACGGCCTTGGCCCGTGGGCACACCCGTCTGCCCCTCTTCCAGCCGGAGCCATGAGGTGCACAGCGCCCCAACCTCGGCGGCTCTTCCCACGGTCTGGGCGCCGGCCCGTGGGGAACCTTGGCAGCCCGCCCTCACCGTCCTCTCTGGGCGCTTCGGCCAAGGAGGGCAACACCAGCCCACCCCACGGCGAGGGGGCCCAGCCCTGCCGGGGAAGAGCGCCGCACCCGAGTCGGGGGAGCCAGCGCCAGGCCCACCCGGGGTGCAGCACGGGTGCGTAGCTGGGGTGCCCCGGGCACGCCGCGTTGGGGGAGCGCCCTTGAGGTCCAACCCTCCTTAATGGCCTCGGCCCCGGCCCGGATCTCAGCAGACCCCTGCGATAAGCTGACTCCGGGGCAGTAGTCGCGGACTGAGGTTGCATCAGCCCCTCGGTCTCCGCAGCAACAGGGTCCAGACTTCCCGGACGCGAGGGGCCCCTGTCCACTGCCCATCGGGAGGCTCGCAACAAGAGCTGCTCTGGCCCGCCCGCCCACGCCTGCGCACGTGGCCCGCCTGCTCTCGTGACGCTGGCGCGGCAGGGGACCGTGAGCTCCCATCACCCAGCACGCCGCTGCCGCGTTGGCAGGACCCAGGGGCGCCCTGCGCGGACACGGCCCCACGGC